GCAGTACTTCTGTTTACTAACCCTTTCCAGAATCTGAAAAGAATGGATAAAATTTGGTGTGGTGGGAGAAGCTAATGAAAGAAAGAGCAATGGGCCAGATTCATCCAAGGCCATGTAGAAAATCATGTAGAAAAACTCCCCCCAGAACATCTCTATATAATAGTCAGTTGGGTAGTGATTCACAGTGCTGTTGACTCATCCATTCTTAGTTTTCTTCCCTTCTAATCGTGTTAGGTTTCATACATGCTCCCCAATGCATATTCCTACCTAAATGTAAAAGGAAAGAACAGAAATACACACATAAACACAAACATAAATATGAGTTGTCGTTTTATTATAGAAGACAGTACATGTACCTCATAGGGTTGTGACTGGTAAAAAGTTGGGGAAAAAACCAGAAACCATTCTCTGCATGCTTGCCATGCCGTGTTACTCCTTCCAACTTAATGGAATATTGGAAATTAAATGCTGCCAATTTTCCTGTTTATCAGCAGGTTATTTATCCCAAAAACAAAACAAAGGCTCGTTTCAAGGGCTCAATTTTTTCTTTATTTCCTTTTTTTAACAATATCATCTTTCTTGGTGTCTCCTTTTCACATCTTTTTTTTTTTAAATTAGTGGTATAATTGCTACTGGCTATCTTTTTTCAAAGATGCAGCCTTTTGATAAAGCTACCGGCTGTAACAATTTTGTAACTATAATATGGTCAACTTCTTTAAAGTTGCCAAGAGTTTATCCATTGTTCTGGGGCAAAAGAAGCGATTTCACACAGTAACAAGTAAAAAGTCCTGAATGTACCATCCTGGTAGACCAATAGGGGGTCATTTTAATCTCCATACAGTAGGATCCTAAAATGAGGTTAATACAACATAGCATTTTAGTTCATGTGCATTAGACATCCTAGGAAATATTTATTAAGAGTTAGTTTATTAGCTCCTTGATGATTAACTCAAGAATTGAAACATTAACTCACATAGTTTGGTCTTGTCTTATTATTGTTGTATTTTGGGTTGATAGGATTATTAATATGACCCCAGATCAATTGCTATGTATACAGAGCTATATATTCTTCTATATTCATAAAAATACTACATCTCTAGTGTTTGTAACCAATCAAGTTATTAAATAGTGGAGTGGGATTTTTTGGGGGGGAAAGGGGTCAGGGGATTAGTTAAAAGAATTGTAATATAACATTCAAAGGTAAAATTTACACCTGATTTTCCACAACAGATGTTTGATGTGAGGTTTTTGCCAACATTTGAACAGAAAAAAATATAACCAAAGAAGTCATTCTGTTTATAATCTCATTTTCAAGTCTTTTATTGTGATGATTTTTATGTGTTTGTTTTCTTACTTAGTTTAGCAAAATAAAATTATAAAAAATAAAGGTGAAAATTTCTAAGAAATCTGAACCCTTTATCGATAAATATTGCATTTAGATAGTGTATTTGAGTTTGCTATAGAATATTTTTGGGGAAATAACATTTATATAACTGAAAACTTTGGGGAAATAACATTTATATAACTGAAACAGATTCATAATATGAAACCTTAATTTACCAGATTATGACACAGCAGACTTTTGACTTGAACAGACCAAACACCTGTGGTGCTTCACGGTATTTGCATTATGGCATCATGATGAAAACTGAGTATTTTGCAACACTCCATATCATCTGTTTAGTATCACTTGTATAAACAGAAATCACCACAGTGACATACTCTCTAGTACCATCAACAGTTGAGAGTAACTGCTCCAATGAAACAGTGATGTTTGAGAGCCAGTTTTCTCTAGCGCAGGGGTGTCAAACTGGCGGCCCATGGTCCAGATGCACCATGTGCAGGCCACACCCACTGGTTGTTTTGGCTCTGCAAAGGCCAAAAACATCGCAATATGTCACACTACGTCACGTGACGCGATTGAGTTTGACACCCTTGCTCTAGCGGTTAAGGCACCAGGCTAGAAGCCAGGAGATGGTGAGTTCTAGTCCTGCCTCAGGCTGGATGACTTTGGACCAGTCACTCTCTCCCAGCCCAACTTACCTCAGAGGTTTGTGGTTGTGGGGAAAAGAAGAGGAGTATTGTGTGTGTCTGCCACCTTGAATTATTTATAAAAATAAGAAATGATTAGATATAAATAAATAAATATAAATAAATAAATAAATAAATAAATAAAAAATACCCCATAAATATAAGAAAACTGTCCTATCTCTGGTCAATTTATTTGCACCTCTAGCCCACAGTCCTCTTTTTTGACTCTTCCGGTTTTTGGTTTGCTTTTGCTTTTTGCTTTCCTTCTGCAGATGAGGCCTTCTCAGCTGCTCTCTGATCCCTTTGACAGACCTGAGTTCTCTCTATGCGCAGCAGATGTTCTACTATTGTCCCCTTGCCCAAATCCATACATACAAGCTACAGTGACATTTATTACTTTACCATCAGCAGGTTCCCTGCATAACAACTACCTTGCCTGTGTGGAAGGTGCTCTTTGTATTGACCATGGAGAGGAGTAAAATCCCTCAATAAAAATCCGACTGTAGGGACCAACTCAACAATCCCTTGTTCATATTAGCTTTGCATCTGCTTTTAATTTGGCCCACAGTCTCAGGGCAGTGTGCCTGCTCCTTCATGCGAACTTCTTGCTCTGATAGACCAGCTGGCTCAGCTACAGGAGGGGGCTAATCTCTGGCCACATACTAACACTAGAGAGTGTCATTAATGAATTAATAAGGAGCCTGTTGCTTTCAGAAAAAATCTATGCCTTCCCATCAGGAAGAGGGAGGAGGAAAGGAAAAGAACACATTCTGATTTTTTTTTTAAGCTGTGAAAGTCATAAAACACGAGAAAGGTACATGAAGGAGATTGTATTTTAAATTAATTGCTTCTTTCTGGTGTTTCTGCCCAACATCCACCCACCTCCGCTCTGCCTCTCAAAATTTGTCCATATCTAGCATTACGGAGCTCATCTCTAATGGTAAGAAAATATTCACATAAACTCAAATTCTGAAAAGAAATTTAAAAATGTTAAAAGTTTTAAAAGTTATAGTACGTGTTTGATTGGGAAAATGGACTGATTCGTATGATGGCCATTTGTCAGTTCTGCCTGTGGTCGTGAAGCAAATCGCCACAAGTTGTTAAGGGTATTGTCACATGACGGTGACTTGCAACTTCCTGCCAGCTTCCCCATTGATTTTGCTTTGTGGAAGCTGCTGCAAAGGTTGCACATGTCAATTGCATGACGGAGGGTCACTGTGATCATTTGTAAATGTACTGCACATTGGTTGCCAAGTGCTAGAATCGTGATTGTGTGTCTGCAGGGATGTTGCAACAGCTGCAACTTTGAGGACTGACAGTAAGCCTCCTTATATAGGCCATGGTAACTTCAGACACTGAGCAAATGATCAATAAATGAGGACTACCTGTAGGTATTACTGATCAATAAGACAGTGATGGGCATCGGAAATTTTGAAATATCCAAGTAAAAAAGACAGTTCTATCTATTATTCTTATTTATGAAAACTCTAACTTACCTTTCCTGTCTAGCACAAAAAACCAGGAGTCCAGGTAGTTCAGAAAAAAAATGTAGATTTATTGTATGCTAAAGCTCTCTACAATAATCTAAACTACTCAGGTTCAAAGAAAATTGGGGGTAGATAAGAGTCAATGGAATTCAAGGTGGGCTGGACTTAGATCTCTTGTAGGTGGGAAGGGACTTGAGACTGATGACACATTTGACCCCTCCCTCAGGCTCAGTCTGCTGATCTCCTGTATTTTCCTTTTCTTTAGTATTTTCTTAGTTTGATATTTGTTTTTAAAAGTGAGACTCATATATGAGGTTCCTTCCACCAACAAATAATGTTCCCATGATCAAAGTTCTCCTTCAATTATTATTTGCTGGAATATGCTAATTAACACTGGAAGTCCCTAAGATGTGGCCCTAACTCACAATATATGTATATTGTGGCTGCTGTCTGGGGAGTCCTTCCCGCTCCTGCTTGGCTGATCAACTCTCAGGCCTCCTGTGTGAAGGGGAACAGACTATTGTTTGAAAAATCAAACAGTAAAAGAAAAAGAGTACCTTGAACAAACTCACTGGAGACTGGGAGGATGGGTTTACACCTACACTCTAGTACCCTCAGATCACAATGGAGGAAAAACTAGAATCTTTTTTTTTAATGCTCTTTACACCTACCATGTTAGCTATTGGCTTCCAGGCTAATGCACCCCCTTGGAAAGACCTACATAAAGTCATCCACAGGGTCAAATGCAGTGCTAATGACTGCATAGCCAATAGAATAACGGTTCTGATACGTTACTATTGAAGTATTTGAATTTGATCAGAGTTGCAAATTTTCTGTTTCCTGCTTCTTAGTATGTAAGAGTAAACACATTGGACATGTGAGAAAGAAGCAGTTGTTCTGTCTTTTATTTCTCCCAGCAATGTACTGTAAGTGATTTCAGATCTAAGGACTGTATTTGCTACAAAGGCACACTTTAAAAAAAAAAACTGCACTTGGAAAGAGGATGACCATACTGAAATCAGTAGTTCCAATGTCAGCTATTCCAAAAATATGATTATTTGACTGGTATAGCAATAACAGCAGGGTTATGTACATACTGTCTCTTAAACTTTAGCTTAGATATAAATGTGTGGCTGTTGTTTTGGCATGGCAGTATATATTTGTGTTGATCTTGGTTCTTGATATGTATTCAGTGCTACAGCTAGATAATTTGTTAACAAGGCCTTTTTAACACTTTGGACAGATGCACATACTGTTTTCAATCTTCACGGTTAATTATTTGATTTTGTATTAGTTGCTAGAACACCCTGACTTCTAATCACTGCTCATTGTTGGAAGTCCATTATATTCTAACTGTTTGAGTGCTCCCGTTGACCTTGAACTGACATTATAAGCTGTGTCTAATCTTTTCAGTCTATATTTCTAATGCTTCTTTTCTTCCTCCCCCCCACACCCTTCCTTCTTTGTCTGATCTCTGATTAGCATCAAAATGGGGCTGCCTCTGAGTCCAGCAGCGGACTCCGCCCGCTCTGCACGACACGCTCTCTCCCTCATTGCCACGGCCAGACCACCCGCTTTCATCACTACTATTGCCAAGGAGGTAAGCAGAAGACCTTTGCACATGTGCCTCACTGCAGGAGGAACAATGCCTTCATTGTTTAGCAACAAGAAACATTTGAGCATCTGTTTACTTTTTTTCCCTCATTTCAAAATGGCTTGATTCCATATATGTCTGAATTTGCATCTATGCATACAGAGTGCATGCAAGAGGTTTCGTATTGTGATATCTCACAATTGCATGGCCTCTGCACAAAGCACAGGTAGTCCTCAAGTCACAATTGAGCCCAAAATTCACGTTGCTAAGTGAAACATTGGTTAAGTGTGTTTGCCTCATTTTACAACTTTTCTTGCCACGGTTGTTAAGTGAATCATTGCATTTGTTAAGTTAGTAACGTGGTTGTTAAATGAAACTGGCTTCCCCATTGACTTTGCTTGTCGGAAGGTCCCAAAAAGTGATCATATGACCCCGGGACATTGCAGCCATCTTAAATATCAACCAGTTGCCAAACATCTGAATTTTTATCGTGGTGATGGGAATTCTGCAATGGTTGTAAGTGTGAAAAATGGTCATAAGTCACTTTTTCAGTGCCCTTGTAATTTGAATGGTCACTAAATGAACTGTTGCAAGTTGACGACTACCTGTATGCAATTTTTTTTGAAGGAGAAAAGAGGAGAAAAGCAATGCTTCAGTCAGGCTTTATATACACAAAACAAATATATGTACATATTTATTAGGGTCTCTGAGGCTCTAGATTATTAACACATTGCCAACGATAGATGAAAATGGAATACTACCATATTTTACATAATATTTTTGTCACTTTTTAGTAAAATTAAGCAACAAATCTAGAGTGAAGCTATGTAACTAGGAAGCAAGATAGATTCCTATTACCTCTTATTACTGTTCCTAGGACTAAATAAATGGTCCGTAATGGAGAATTAAGTTAGTCTGCTTCCCAATACTCAAGACAACAATATAATATATATTAATATATTGTTCTAGCATCTTTATTCTTTCAATCATTTTATTCATTTTTGTAATATATTAACCAAATAAATGTAGGTAATTACCCCATGTCAGTGCAAATATAAAAAGGTGTTCATTAGAAGACTTGAAGAGGACAAAATATTTTGTAATCTATAGTGATAGTATAATCTTGATATAGTGATAGTATATATTTGGCCTAATTCACTGCAATGCCCCTAGAATGAGCCCATTTGCCCAATTAGATTATGCAGAATATAAATGATTAATCTTGTAAAAATTCTTTGAGGGTATGTAGTAGGAAACGGAATGGCAGAACCTGGGAGTGGAGTGAAGAGAAGGATCAGCCTAGAATCATTACGTAGCTACAAGAAATTAAATCCAATTCCCCTTGAATGCTGTTGACCCTTATCTAACTCTTAGCATGCCCTGACCATCAGTTGAGAAGATTCTATTCACAAGCTGTTTAGCAATAAAACAGTTAATTGAACCTTCATGTGTAGACCTGATTTTTCACGCCTGACATTTGTATTGCAAATTAGAGCTTCATAATTCACAAGTTATGATGAATTAATTACCAATACTCCTAAGTATATATGTTCTAATTAAAACGTGGAACAACAATCTGCACCACACTAAATGAATATGTATTTGGGCTCATTTGCAACAGTAACTTATTAAGATGTATAGTTGTAGCACTGAATAAAGTTAACAAACTGGGGCCATGTATACATGCCAAAAGCAGAGTAATAAACAAAGCCCTAATGCTTCATCAGTTCTACTTTTGATTGTGAACCCATGAAATTTTAATAGAAAATATTTGCAATTACCCCTAAATATTTATTTATTTATTGTTCAATTTTTATGCCGCCCATCTCCCCTATAAGGAGACTCTGGGCAACTTACAGATCAACTCTTAAATACCATTGTTTTGTAGGTACACAGGCACACTGCTCTTCAGGCTAATACACAGTCTCAACAAAATATTCATACCACCACCTTGGCTCGAGCAAAGGGAGAAATTCTGAGGGTTATTGAAATCCTTATTGAAAAAATGCCAACAGATGTTGTGGATCTCCTTGTAGAGGTATGTCAATATTTTATTATGCTTCCATGTTAATAACAGTTGGTATTTATGTTTGAGTTTATCCTGTGTTGAAGAAGATAAGAGCCTTTGCATTGGCCTACCTGTTGGTACAACAGATCATTGTCATTGCAAAATCATTTCAAAGGCATTAAATGATTTAAGTACTTACAAAAGGTCAGCAAGTCTTGCCAGACTAATATTGTTTTTAAAACATTTGATTGAATGACTTTCTTAATAGATTGTGGGAATGTTGCATACAGAATATACCTTGATTTCACTAGAGCATTTGGCAAAGTGCCATACAACATTTAGCAAATTAATTGAGGGCCAAGGGAGATTTCTAATACATGGCTGTAAAACTATTCTCAAAGCTGGTATTCCCACAACATTCTTAACTGGGTCATGGGAAGGAAGTTAGTGTGTCCTATAAACATTCTAGCCCAAGTAACTGATCTAGTCAAACAATTTTGTAGGGGAGAGGGTTAACTCAACATTTCTCTGAGTAGAAATTTGAAATACCAGAACATTTGTGCAAAAACTGGAATTTTTACCTAATGGCACAAAATGTATTGGGTAACTACTATATAATGATATTTCTACTGTAGGTATAATAGAAAACTAAAAGCAATAGAGTGAAATTTGATAGCGATAACTGCAAAGTCCATCATCTAGGGAAAAGAAGTCAAATACATATTAATAGGGAAGGGGATACCTGGCTTGATAACATTATGTAAGAAAAGAATATACAGTAGTTCAGGGGTCTTCAAACTTGGCCCTTTTATGACTTGTGGACTTCAACTCCCAGAATTCTGGCTGAGGAATACTGGGAGTTGAAGTCCACAAGTCATAAAAGGGCCAAGTTTGAAGTCTCCTGCAGTAGTTGATCATAGACTGAATATGTGTCAACAGTGTGACATGGTCATTCACAAGGCACAATAAAAATAGTTTTCAAGTCATAGAAATAGTTTCCTTGTATTCTGTATTGGTCACAACCCACCCTGAGTGCTGCATATGTTCTGGGCATCATACTTTGAGAAAGATTCAGGCAAACTGGAAGAGATTCATAAAAGGACAAGGGTGAAATGGATCTTGGAAACAAAGTTTTATGAGGAGAGACTTGAGGGACCAGGGTATGTTTAGCTTCAGAAAAGTCAACTGGGTGGGGACATGCTATTGCTCTTCAAAAACCTGAAGGCTTGTAAAGTTATAGGAAGTTAGATTCAGACTGAATAATAGGAAAATCTTTCTAAAAGGAAGATCAGCTCTAACAATGGATCAATTACCAAAAAGGTTCTCCCCTTCTCCAAAGAGAGGTTGGACATCCATTTGTCAGGGATTTTTTCATTTGGAATCTTGTACTAGACAGGGAATTGGATATTGTAATCTAAAATGGCACCGTCCCAATTATATTTTTAAGTGCTATATGAAGCATTATGAATGGTTAATTTAAAGTAGTGCTTTTCATGAAGAATACCAATCAATCCAGGTTTCTCTACAGCTGAAAATTATATCTGAAGCTCAGAGAGCTGCTAATAATCAGCACAGAGAATATTTCTGCTAGATGCAGACTTAGCATAAGGCAGTGGGCATTGGTACTAATCACAAATATATATATTTTTCTTTCTATGCGTGCTATGTTTCATCCATAGAGGCTATTTGTATCTCAGTTTTAACACATTTGCATTCTTTTTGCATGTAATAGTCAAATTCCAAAATCCTGGCTGTTGCATATTTTAAGTTTTGTAATAAAGAGGCTGCTTGAAAGTTCTTTGATGTATGAATTTTGCTGCATGTGATTGGAATAACGCATGGGATGTGGTCTGTTAAACCTCTTCTCTTTGTCTTCCACTGGAAAGTACTTTCTTTTGGGATTCAGAATGCTGCCTTCTTTAACAATCCTGAAATAACAGAAATTTGAGCAGTTTACAAACGATATTGAATTATAATGCTACTACTGCTATTTAAGTAACAGTATTCCTGTATATGGTAATGATATATGGAGTTTTCTTTCCTATGTTTTATTATGGCTCCTCAAAGTACAGTTGCAAAATACTGTTCTAAGGATTTAATTATTTTCAACAATAATTTGTTGTTGTTGTCCATAGGTAATGGACATCATCATGTATTGTCTTGAAGGCTCATTAGTCAAGAAGAAGGGACTGCAAGAGTGCTTTCCAGCTATCTGCAGGTAAGATCACAATAGGAACGTGTGAGTACCAAAATTAGTAGTAAACAGTTTTTACAACAGGTATCCAAGAGGTTGCCATCTTTTGACATTCTGCTCCAGAAAAGTTGTCTAAAGGACATTAATTGTGTAATCCATGGGGGGGGGGGGGAATGTCAGTTTGTATTTCCTAGCTACCATATCCCTTCATATGTTCCCCATCATCAGCTCAGGATAGGATGAGGGTAAGAGCAGGAGGCTCTATATGTTTCTCAACATTTGGCTTCATCGGAGTTTGAAGCACTCTACAAAGCAGCGCTCAGTGACAGTAGGAATGTGAAAATGGTAATAAATAAATTTGGATATTATTTTGTTTCCCCTGTTTCTATTTCAGCCAACTTCATAACTAGCAAAGAGGAAACATTTCAGCTCTATATTAATGTTCTAACAACTAAATATGTGTTAAACCAGGTAGCATCAACTGGCTAGATTACTAACAAAAAGCAAAACAAATAAAATCCTGATGAGAAACAGCAGCTTGAATGTGATGGACTTGAGTTAAAGAAGCATCATATGAAAGTATGGGGGGGGGGGGGGAAGCCATCACAGTACACATATATTGTTGCTGTTAAGTGTAGTATTGTACTGACTTAAATAAGAGTTTCTGTAGTACCTAGTTGATCTCAAAAATACTTGTATAAGAATTGTCCCCCTATTTGCTTAATAACAGGAACCAGAATATCCATCAGTTGTGCTTATTTCAGTACTGGATGTTGCAACAACAGAGATTGGATTGCGACCCTTTATATGGGTTTATATAAGTCAAACTATACATGTTGTCCATGAGGTCAAAGGTAATAAGATAAAAAAAAAGACTACAAAGGCAATAGTGTATTGAGAAAACAAAGACTGTGTGTATTAGAATAAATATTATTTCTAAGTGTCAGTTTCCTTGACATTGCTTCCCATAGCTTTTTTCATCTTCAGGTATCCCTTATTATCAGCATTCCTTTACCTTCAAGGCATTGTTAGGGCTGAACCAGCAGTTTTACTTCAAGCTTCCCCCTTGGGTGGCAGTGAACAGATCTAAAGACTTATGGTTTTGCGAAACCACATGAACCAAAAGGAATTTTCGATGGCAAGTGAAGAAGGGCCATCTCCAATTCAGCTGAAATGTTCTGGAAATGTTGTCTAAGCCTTATTCAATCTATACTATCCCCAGATCTGGGAAGAGAACTCAGACAACAGTGTGTTCAGTGTTATGAGTTGTCAAGACAGGAGTAATTGGAAAGGCTGAGGGTGAGGAACTTTCCATATTGAGATACAGATAGTCCTCGACTTACAATAGTTCATTTAGTGATTGTTCAAAGTTACAGCAGCACTGAAAAAAGTGACCGCTTTTCACACTTATGACAGTTGCAGCATCCCCATGGTCACGTGATCAAAATTCAGACATTTGGCAACTGACTCATATTTATGATGGTTGCAGTGTCCCGGGATCACGTGGTTACCTTTTGCGATCTTCTGACAAGCAAAGTCAATGAGGAAGCCAGATTCATTTAACAATTGTGTTATTAATTTAACTGCAGTGATTCACTTGACAACTGTGGAAATGGGGCAAAAATCACTTAACAACTGCCTCACTTAGCAACAGGAATTTTGGCTTGAATTGTGGTCATACGTTGAGGATTGCCTGTACTGTATATCCAGGAGATATTGGAGTAAGTCCCAGGTCACCCACCTCACCTGGAGAGATACTGTTGGTTATAGCCCCATCAGTTACTGAAGTGAAAAATTAAAGTGTTGAGAACATGTCCAGAGAGCAGGAGAGGTCAGAAAAGGGTTCTGGCTGCATTCCAGCTAGTTGGCAAGTCCAACTGCTAAGACTGTAACCTAACTACTGTAGCATTTTCCCATGGGGCAGAGATGGTCAGGGTTTTATAGATAAGAGGACTTCTCATCAGGAGGTGGTTTGAGGTATTTTGGTGTCAGCACAGAGAATATCATTCAGACAAGCGGAATGGAGGATAACAAATTGGGGAGATATAACAAATAACTATACCGTATACTAGTGATTATATACAACTAAAACTCTTGTGTCTGTTTGATACTTTTTAACTTTCATCTGGGTGAAGTGGTATATCATAGAGCAACTATTTTTGAATCAACGTACCTCAAATGGGCCGATTTACTGAATGCATCCAAAATCTGGTGGCTGTGACTCCTGTGAGATTGAAATTTGACAAAGTTGTGGCTACCACATCTTCCGATTACATTTTCCAGAAACCCATCATTTATGTGGCATAAGGGAAGGGGGCAGTGACATATGCCCACCCTCTTCCTTGCTTCCTGGCCTTTGGCCTCAATCATCTGGTGGCAAAGTCTGATGGACAAGCAGCCATTGGCTGCTTTGGAGCCATGGACGAAATCTTGGCTCCAAAATTCTTAGCATTGGTAGCCAGTGAGGGAAGAATGAGGGAGCAACTTGGATGTCTGCTGGCAAGGTAGGACTGGCTGAGGAACACCAGAGGTAAATGGGTGAGCACTCTTCCTCCCTGGAAACAGGCTGAAGTGGGGAGTGGGGAGGTGCAGTTTTCCTCGCAGACTAGAGCTCCCATCGTTCTCCCTCCCCCCAGCAAAGTGGCAGGCAGTTCTGTGGGTCAGCCAAGGAGGAGAAGGAGGTGGTTCCTGGGGCTCTCCTCAGAGTCATGAAGGGAGGTGAGACAATGTGAACTTAGGTGTAGAAAGAAAAATGAGCCCACAGGTTGGCTAGTATAATATAAAAATCCTGCAAAACAAACAAAGGAAAAGGAGGAGGAAAAAGGTTTAAATGAACAATATACAAACACATAAGGGATTTACAAATGTAATGGAAGGTTTTGTTTTCTAATATATCATTAGTTAATTAAGAGTAATTGAATATATCATTTCAAAGACTAAAAAAAA